TCAGTTCGTGTGCTGACCTCCCTCCATGCCATGACAAAAGGCGTTGTCATCCTCTCTATCTTTTTCCGCAGGTTTCCCCAGTGGTCACAGCATGTTTCAGTTTCCTTCTTCTCATAACATGACCCCCCTACCCTCTCCCAGCAATGACTTTCTTACGTTTATGGCAAATTGTCTTCAAGCCGTCACCTCTTTCAAAACATCTGGGCTGCTCGTCTTAGCTGTCCAAGGAATTCCATTGTTTCTTCTATAAAACTACATCTCCCCACAGAATGCCAAAAAAAAAAAAAAAAAAAAAAACTTTTGGTCCTTTCCTTAATAAAGAATTGAAACCTGCTTTGTCGGCTTGTCCTCGAGTTTACAGCCTGTGAACACAAGGAAGAAGAAAAAGAAGAAGAAGAAGAAAAGGAGAAATGAATGCAGGCTGAAAATCTGCCACTAATAACCCAGCAGTTTTGTCATCATTAACAGTTTTAACAATTTATAATGAAGTAACAACAGAAAGTGTAATTATAAATTTTCTTTCATTCACTTTCAGATTTCTATGCGTGGAATGTTATCTTTTGTATGAATTTCACTGAGTTTGTTTTTTAGTTCACACAACTGTCCTTGACGTTTAGATTTCAGCAATTCTTCTAGGCCACCAAGTAGTTTGGCGTAATGTGGTATATTCAGTGCAGTCTCGGAATACATGTCATGTGCATTTCGCTCACTGGTGCACCAAACCACATGTGTCATTATTTATGTAAGAAGAAACAGGGAGAGTGGCTAGACGCTTGATGCGGATCGGAAGGTCGTGGGGTTGCTCCCTGGCGGAGCCGGACTTTAAAAAAAAATGACTTTGGCTCCCGGGTGCAGTCCCGGAAGGTAAAGGCAGCCGGCATGATACTGACCACATCACCCATCTTGTGCCGATTCATCTATAAAAATATAGGTATAGCCCTATATGCCCTATACACCTAATAGCGTGGAAAAGGGTCCTTTACTTTTTTTTTTAAGAAGAAACAACCACACAACTTGCCAATGTAAGCAGAAAACAAACAGATTATGAGCAGTCTCCAACTACAAACAGCCATGAAAACATCACACATTCATAAAAAGGTTCATGTGGAAATGACTAGGTGAAATACTAACAATGAAAATGTTTTATTCTACATATAAGATAATTAAAAAAATATTTAAAAAATAAGAAAATTTATTCACTATATACAGATATTATTAATTTTATTAAATTAAAAACATTACAAGGAGGAGTGCATATTGTGTTTTAAAGACTAGATTCAAAGTGAAAATACAAATGTAAGTTCTTACGAGTGCATGTGGTTATTTGGGAGACATAGCGGCTGGTTGAACTCTATCATATCCAAACAAAGCACCATATATTTCTTGGTGTGTTTTCAAAGATGAGATGATGTTCTTGTTGCATTCTATCATAGACAAATGTTTTGTTAACCCACTGTATCTGATTTATTAATTTAACCACTTCTATCCTAAATGATCTCTTCCTAACTTCTTCAGGCCAAAGTATGTATTGCTTTTAAGCTCAGCTACAATGGATTCACTCACTGGCACCTTTCCATCTTTCAAGGCCATAGTGTTATATTGCACTATGAGGAGGCATGAGACTCACAAGCCCATGACAATGATAGTGTGACTAGCAAAACCTGCCCGTGTTAAGAACGGCCAGGGTTGAAGTTCATCCTCTCCATAGCACACAGCCTGGGCAGTATTGTAGAGACCATATGTTGCTCACGCATCATGATCCCTCTCTCGACCTGCCTTGTTTACTTAAAAGGAAAGGTAACACCAGTACATTGGGAACAAAGCAGGCTGCAGAAGCAGAAGGATCACAAGAACAGTGCTCTATCTGTCCACCTGTCAGAGCTTCCTTTCTAGACTAGCTACAAGGGATATAAGGAGTTAAAATAACTTCTTGGAATTGAACAAGTTAAAAACTAGTACAGGGCATCTAAAATAAACTAGTTCACTTCCATAAAAAATGTCTCTTTAGGTTTAATAAGTCAACTATTTTTAGCATTTCGTATGTCATTTTGGAACTAATTCATGTTATTTTTTCTGAAACTGCTGTATTAAAAACATTGTAAGTGAAAACTATGGTGGGATAAGAAATTATAACACTTACATTTATACTGTAGAAAAATAACGTTGGTTTAGTTAGTGCAGCGGTTCTCAACCTGCGGGTTGCAACCCTTTTGGGGATCAAATGATCCTTTCACAAGGGTCGCCTAAGACCATCGGAAAACACATATTCGTTAAAGTTATGAAGTGGTCGTCACTACATGAGGAACTGTATTAAAGGGTCGCTGCATTAAGAAGGTTGAGAACCACGGAGTGAGTGCATCCAACAGGTAGCCTGTCCTTTGGAGAACGTCGGTCTCATAACAGCTCGCCTGAAAGAAACTCAGTCTCACCAGCATTTCCTACCCAAGTTGTCACTTATATCCTGTGCTGATCTTCGTGCTGGTTCGTACCTTCTTTCCTGGTGCCATTCCATCTACTATGTTATTACTATTTTATTTTTCCAGTCTGCCGCAGCTCTTGATATGGCCAAAATATTGCAAATTCTGAGACAAGATGCTGTTTACTAGGCAATCTTCCTTGCTGTTCAGATCTATTAGGATGTCAGTAGTTTTCTTCTTTGCCCATGGTATTCTGAGAATCTTTCTATAGCATTACGCTCAAAAGCCACTATTTTATTCCCTAATGACTGGGAGAGAGTCCATGACTCAAATTCATATGTTGCTATGGGAAAGATGCAGGCGACTTTGATTTCCTTGCTGGTGCTTAACCAAAGACTTTTTATGCAATAAATGGTTCTGTTCTAGTCTAATTTGATAACGAACATCACAGCACTTGGCGCATTCCATTGAGCTCCATGTTCTTATCTTTAGCAGCCAGGGCAGAGTTCCAAAACCAGTGGTGCAAGTTGCAGTCCGGTTACATGTTCCTGTTGCTTTATCTCTGAGTGTTGAGTATTTGGTCAGATCCCTTGGTCACTTCCTATCACTTTTTACAGACAATTCTTTCTACTAATGCACTTATGTATTGCTCATATGCCACCAAAAAGCCTCGATCAGTTAAGACTCTTCGATTTTTTTGGCCAAAACAATAAAAAAATGTTTTATTTTCTGTCATATGTTTTTGAAGTTACACTCTTTTTCAGTTTCAAAATTTAATAATCCACAGTAATTTAAATTCAAAAAATTGTGCACAGCTTCACAGAAACAGCACAAAGGAAAGATAAATGGAAGGACACATATTCAAGAATGTGCTGATTGATTTAAATTAATGAATTCTTATGGACATTGACCGAAGAACATGAAAGAAAACTGACTGCCTGTGAAATTAGATGTTTGAGAAAGGCCATGAAAAAAAAACAATCATCTGAGAAATAAAGAAATTGAAAGAACTATTGGGACAACACCCATAATTAAATGCACTGATGAAAAACAAAGACTGAAATGGTTTGGCCACTTAAAGGGATTGAATCCAATTATGCCAGAAACAAGAGGGTACAACATGAAAGTAGAAACACTAAGAGGTAGGGAATGACCAAGAAGCAGATGGACTGAAGGAGTCACTGATATCTTGAGACTTCACAACTAATTAGTCTACTCTTAGGACATGCTTTCTGGGGAGGCAGTGGGTCAATTCTTGCTGACTTTAAAGTGACTACATTAAGGTATTTATAAATTGTTTGAACAAAAGAAACAAAATAATAATATATGATAGTTATACAAAGTATGTGATGCTTACCTGGCTCTATCTGAATTTGATGGGGGAAGTAAAGGCAGCCAATGTAATGCTGACCAAATCATGCATCAAGCGTTGATTGGTTTATAAAAATATGGTCAAGCATCTGATGCTCAGTGTGTCGTTGGTATAAAAAAAGAGTCCTTTACTTTTTACATGGGAGACAGCAAAAATGTGAAACAGTTTCACAAAGAGCTATAAGTAACTCTTTTGTCCCAGAGGCTTTTGTTCAAAAACCACTATTTTTTTCATTAAATATTGCCACAAAAATTCTAACTACTTTCTGTGTTGAAGGAATGCAAAGTGAATAAAATACATCACTGTCATTGTCAAATTTATTTAGTACACACTTATTAAGGGTGCTGCGTGGTCTCGAGGCATGGTGTCCGCCTCGAGTTCTAGAGGTTCCGGTTCAATCCCGGCAAGGGCTGGGATTTTTTCCCATGGACTTAGACTTCTAGTAATTCTCCCTGGTCTCTGGATAGTGTGATTGGACGCCCGTGTGCATTGTTGCGCATGTAAAAAATCTCTTGGCAGTTGGAAATAAAAAAAGTAGCCTTTGAGTGCTGCCCGGGCAAAAATTGGAGTTAAAATCTACCCACAGTATTTTCAGAATTCTCACTGGTGCTACAGAGTTCGTACTGAGCTTCTTTGGACTTAGACTTGAGTTAGAAGAAGAACAGAGCACTAATGGGTTACTACCCATGTGCCATGATGTTGATCTGTTGCTCAAAGCTCAAACACTTACTAAGATTTAAATATAAGAAGACACTTGATGAGATATTTGAGACATGTGGGGAATAGTCAGTAATGCATCATGCATTGTCTGGGAGTGAGAGAGATTAGAGAAAAAACAACAACATTTTTTTACATCAAACATGTAGATTCCAGAATCTCATACTTTTTATTAGTGTTAAAAAAAAAAAAAAACACCAATAGACGAAATCTAAATCTTAATTACAACAGAAAGAAATTAGATTAAAGCAAAGTGTACACGTTTATAATAAATTTAACGAAATGCTTTATTGTTATGTCAAGAATAGAAACAAATATGTTTAAAATCCTAAAATGTATGATTAAAGTTTTTATAATTGAACTTCAGTAGTAAAAACATGCACAGTGAGCAAGAATAGTGTCATTCTTTAGATTATCAATAAATTTACAACATCTATTGTCTAATGAAATCTGTTTTGAAAGAATCAGCAATAAAACATTATCAGCAGTAGACATCAAGGCAAAAGGGTCCCAGGCCCCAGCTTGGTTCGCTGCAAGATCTGTGTTCGCTTCCTTCTCTCGATAGCCTTGTTGCCTACAGTGTGTCGCAGTGGTGGGAGGCTGGTACTGTCTTGGATGTAAGCTATTTCTGGCCTGGAAACAAAAGTTATTTAAAGTGTCAACAATCTCTTATTGCACAGTAAGGATATTAAATGACTTCAACTTAATCTTTTTGTCATGACAAGTAGTGAACCCGGCATTTCCATCCATGACTCAATAACGCAAATGCCAATTGCCCGTGAGAAACCTAGTTATTGGTGTTTGTTTCTGTTTGCGTCATTTAGTGTTTAGGAGGCCTATATATAAAAATATTTTTACCATTAATAACATTAACTCTTTCAGGCCCTTGAATTTTGACAGACTGGGCCCACAATAATTTCCCCTTTCAAAAATAGCGGAGGTGGTGGTGTAAAAAAAAAAAAGGCAATAGAGAAAAATGTAATATACTTCTAATCCCTACAAAAGAATTATTTTTCAAGAGAAACGAATGTAAATTTTGATAATGATAATAAGTATATGTTTAATACTGTTGTCGGTTCTGTGGCTAAGTCGATGCGAACGCTTCGTAATGCCGGGGTGCCAGGTTCGATCCTAGCTGCATGCAATGCGCCTTGCGATAGTTTCGACAGTGGTATCAAGGGGCCGACCGCCGAGAAAGAAATGGCAAACTACTGGACGTAAATTTGCCTAGAGAAACCACACAACAGCCAGGGGCTGCTGGGGTTGGTTCCTGTAATGGATACGCAACTAACCTTTAATACTGTTATAGCTAGTAGGAAAGAAGTATTCAGCAGGTGTTAATTTCACAAGAACCGAATTTAAAAAAAATTAAATTTGTTCAATTTCCTAACAAATTCAAAAATTATGATAGGTTTCTGGGTTAGTTTAGCACTCAGGGGCTCTTAGTTCTCACAGAGTGCTGAGCAAAATTTCAGAGAAAAAGAAATGGGCCATTACACACACACACACACTATTTACTTTGTACAGTTATATACAGGCTGTAGCTGCAGTGACATCAATGTAGCTTAGCCATAGTATAGTACAATCTTTTTGTTTAGAGAACCTTCCTTCTCTTACACCATTTTCTGTGTAAACTCATTAAAATCGCTAGATTCCCAGCAGCTGATTGCTTAGCTGCGCTGGTGTAAGTTCACCGTCCGAATCACTTTCTGAAAAACCTACATATTCATTATCATAATTAAAAACATCTGACTGAAGCAATTTCAGAGCTTTGGTCGCAGAAAGACACATTCTGCGACCTGTACTTGTGTCTGGAACATTGGTATTCATGGCACTCGAAAAACGAACTTAGAAAATGCACTGCTGAAAAAAATGTAGCTATGAATCCGATCAATCACATGTGGCTTGGGATATGGAATGTTGTTAAAAGGAAATCGTTAGAGTAACTTTCCCTGAATACTTTCATGATAGTTCTGAACATCAGAAACAAGTACGGAGCCGTGTGTGAAGCAATATATATGAGACACTCGATTGACGCTGACAGCATTGTTTGAACAAAACGGAACTTCTCAATCAACGCTGACAGTGTTGCTCGGGCTTTAAAGAGTTAAGGGAAGATGGATTTCTGTGAAAAAAATGGCTTTCTGAAGCCATTACAAAATAGTTTTTTTTTTTTAAGCCAATACAAAATGGCTATTTGATGGCATTACAAAACTGCTTTTTGAAGCCACTACAAAAATGGCTTTTTGAACCCATTACAAAATGGCTTTTTGAACCCATTACAAAATGGCTTTTTGAAGCCACTACAAAAATGGTTTTTTGAAGCCATTTTGAAGTCAAAATTTGTCCTTAGAGTTAGTGTTGACATTCTAATACAGTCACAGTGTTTTGGTATTAGCCCTCTGATACAGTTTTTCAAAGAGAATGCATTCCATTTAATGCTTTACCCAGCTCATATTTCCTGATTATTCCTTTAAAATATTTCAAGAAATAAATTGTAAAAAATTAAGTAAATAAATATATTAATGATTTATGTCAAATGGTTCATCATCATCATCAGTTTCCACTTCTGCCGTTGAGCGTTGTGGGAAGGAACAGTCTGCGATCCATTATCTGATGGGCAGCAATGGCTGTTGTCATGCCGTGTCAGAGAAGAATCTCTTTAATGTCATTAATCCATGTTCTCCTAGGGCCGCCTCTCACTTTCACTTCAGATCTCTTCATGTGTAGCACCTGTGTTGGTAGTTGTTCTGGCTGCATTCTTACTAGATGACCAAACCATTTGATCTTTTCTTTCTTAACGAATTAGCTGCATAGTGTTGTTCCCACAGTCTGACTGATAACATCATTTCTAACTGTCTCGGATTGTTAAGTTGGCGGCTTTTCTCAGGCATCTCATTTCACAGGTGTTAAATGTATGTAGGTTAGCCTTTGATAATGTCAAAGTCTGGCACTGGTGGCACAGGGTTAGTATGAATATGCTGTTTATAAGAAAAACGGTTGTTTTGTTTAAAGGATTTTTCCAGAAAATCCAGTGGGTTCCAGCCTTATTTGTTAAAAATGTTCCAGGGAAATAGGGTTACGCATGACTGAACAGAAGCACTCTAGATAGTATCTGCAATGTTTTGATATACATTATCAGCTCAGTGTTCAGTTCCTACCTTCCAGTGTTTAAAATTAAGTGACCAAATCAACCTTTTAAGATGGATATAACTAGGAGCCCTGATGTTACAACAAATACTACTTTGATGTAACCTGATGTCCTATGGGGGCGAGGGTAGAGTAAGTTTCTGTGACAGAAAATAAAGTATCTCAGTATTACTGTACAGTGTTACCTTGCCTAAGGAAGATTCATTTTTCTTCTTCTTCTTCTTCGATCCTTCTGTCAGAAAACTTATATCAGGAGGCAGGTAGATTTCATGAAAGCTATCGTGCAGTCCATATCCTCTCATGTACCATAGTAGTTGCAGCGGGGAGTGAGGAGAGGTGCTGGCAGATGCTCGAGGCTCAGAGGAAAGGCAAGACAGACGTTTAATCAGAATGCTACTGGCACCATAAGTATCGGAACTCTTCGCTGGCTGCTGAAGATGGGGACGGAGCGCTTATGCGAATGCCCCGAGTGCTGTGATGTCGGTTCTTGAATCAAATCAAATCAAATCATGTACCATAGAGTTTTGTCTTCATTGTGGTTGTAACAGGCCAGATTGCCTCTCTGTTGTCAGCATACAGTTGACAGTATTCATTCATTAGCCGCAATCTTCACCAGCCAAAATGTGATGGTGTGAAAATTAAGCTCACAACATCTCCAAGCTAATGAACATTCGCTGAAACATTCCTTATCGAATCCAAATTTATTAGTCAAGGTTGAAAAACAGCAAACCATATTTTCGTTAGCCAAAACATTTGTTAGCAGAGTCACTTTTTAGCTGTGTATTGTGTATTTGTCACTGTGTATTGGTTTGGCTGCCCATATGTTTCATTCCCATAGCCATACTACTGTCGTGTGATTAAATACACACAATTAAACTGTTAGTTTCTGATTTCCTTGTACTTCTGAAAGAATACAAAAGACATTTTAAAAACTCTTAAAATATCACTGTTTATAAAAACTAGGGCTGTACTGAATATTCGCTTCGTATTCGCTTCGGGGCCGAATAGTGGACCTATTCACTATTCAGTATTCGGCCGAATAGTTGTGGTCGGGTCGAATACGAATAGTAGCTACCTTACACCCGCTTCTGCATACACAGCTTAATGCTGACAACATGGAACAATTGGTTTTGTTGAAAGCTAATGCAGCTTTCCTGCATTAACTAAGCTGTCAGTGACAATTTCCAAGTTTAGTTACTTGTTATAGTACTTAGGATTCTTTCAATCCTAGTTATTAGTTACCACAGACTCACTGAGCGGCGTCCGTGGCTAAGGCGTTGCGAGTCCGACTCGTAAGCCAGCATACCGCGATCGAAACCCACTGCAGGCTGCGTGGATTTTTGTCGTGGTATGAGACGTCGCAGGTCGACCCAGCCTAAAATGGGTACCAGGATGGGCTGTCCTGGGAAAGTAAAGACAACTGGCGTAATGCTGACCACATTACCCACAGAGTGCTGATGGTCTGTAAAAATATGGGACGCTCTGCCCATATGCCCGATGCGCCGAAAGGCGTGAAAAGGGAACTTTACTTTTTTTTTTTTTTTTACAATCTCACTGAAGGATGCAGATTGTGAAGATAAGGCCAGCCAGAGAGATGAATGGAGACGAGTGATATCTGCAGCAGTAAACCTCAAGGGCTCAGAATGCTAAAGATAAGATGACTATTCTGTGCTACTTTATGTGAAGTAAAAGTTCAGCGTAGATTTGACATTACGAATGTTTTTTTAAAAAAGATATATTTTATACACTATACACTATTCGTATTCGTATTCGGCCGAATAGTTGGTCCCGCTATTTGTATTCGGCCGAATAGTGAAAATCACTATTCGGTACAGCCCTAATAAAAACTCACAGAGAAAGAGAGAGATAGATAGAGAAAGAGAAGTGACAGAGGAAAACAAACATTGAATAAGAGAGACTCAGGTTCTCCATTGTGGAGAAAACAAGAATAGACACTTGCATCTCACAGGAGTCAACTAATTAGGGGCATCCTTCGAAGTCAGAGTACATCTGCTTAAAGGCAAGGAACCACAAGTCTGCACACACATTACCCAAATCTGTGAAACGGATGTGCATGCAACACTCAGGTTCTGGAACAAGGCTAATGCCGGAGGTGGAAGAGCACCCAGAACTTTCCGCCAGAGCTTACAGCCGGTGAAAGTGGAGAAGAAGAATGTGTGTGTGAGAGAAAGAGAGAGATAGAAAGAGAGAAAGTGAGAAAGACAAAATCACAGAGAGACAGAGAGTAAGAAAACACTCATACACTTAAACACCCACACAGGTAGAGAGTCTACCACAAAGAAAAACATTTGATCTTACAATTTCCTGGTGGCGGTTCTCAAAGGAATTCTGGGCAAACTTCGTCTTTTCTCTTCCTCCTTGATGCTGTCCTCGGCAACATAAGCTCTAGCCATTAAAAAAGCATCAGGTGTCCACTTGTGAGAATACAGGACATCTTTCAGATCTATTTTTAGCCTGTCAAGCTGTAAAAATACAGAAATGTTTGTGTTTTAAAAATCTGGCAGGACCTAGATTTTCTGCTAAACACTGTACTGTAGGTGTAATCAAGGTATCCTTAGAATTTCTTTGACACCCAAAAAGAGCAACCTGGATGTTCTGAAGGTGGTGAGGGCTCCAAGACAACTTATCACAAACATCACAAACAGACTCTCTTCATTTCCTTTGGGAGTCATGTTATTAGAAGAAGAAAACTGGAACATGTTGTGATCACTGGAAAGAGCTGTGGAAATGAGGCAGAGGAAGACAGTATGAGATGATTATTGATAGCTTTTTGACATGGTATTTAGGAGTGTCAACACATGAACTTATACCTGCTGCTAAAGATAGCAGATTGTGGGAGAGGCATGGTCGCCCACGTCAGTCAGCAAGGAATTTTATGATGATGATAATCAAGGTGGTTTTATTTCTTTGTTTCAAAACTAACAGTTGCTCTCAGATCGACCCAGCACATACAAATGAGTATCCACCTGGGAAGTGAAGAAGGCTGTTGGGAAGCTAACATCACCCACTGAGTGCATATTTGTCTATACAAAAATGAGTCAAGCTTCAAATGCCCAATGTGCCCTGGGGTGAAAAGGCTGCTTTACTTTCTGTAGGTATAAATGAAACTCATAAGCTATCGATGTTTCCTTTCTACTATTAGAAATGGAGATCTCTGCAGGCTGCTGAAGATGAGGATAGAGTGCTTTTGAGAATATCCTGAGTGTTATGATGTCAGCCATTACTGCAGGAGTTGACCATTTTGGCAGTTTAGGCTGGAGGTCTTTGAGTCTGAAGATTTGGGGACACATGGCTAGTGCAGTCATCATGGTCTCCCTTTTTTTGCTCAGAAGCTTTGTTTATACAATTTTGTGAATTATGTGGAGAAAAAATGAAACTAGAATAATTACAATCATAATCTGAATAAAGAAGTCACAAACAACAGACTGCACAATTTATTGCCTGGCATATTTCGCTGTATCTCTTCAGGTGCAACAACAACAAAAAACATGGGCACCCCATGAAAATTCTACCTGTTTCAAAAATTGTACTGGGCTTTCAGGTCGGCTCAGTTTGAAATGGGTCCCAGGAAATATTTTGGGAAGCCAAAGCAGCTGACCTGATACTGACTGGTCTATGCAAATATGTGGCTAGCATCACTGTTCCAGCATGCCCCCCAGGCAAGGAAATGGGTTATTTGAACAAATCTGACAGCAGCTGTACTGATGTCCATCTTTGCAGATTTTTGCCCCTCTGGTGAAGTCTTCACATTAGTAATAGCCAGGGAACTGCAATTAATCTGCTGCCTGGCAGCAGAGGTGCTGGAACCTAGGAGGAGGGGGTAGGTGGGAGTATTAGGCACTTTAAGCACCCCCCCCCCCCATCTACTAAATTTGTAGGAGGCCTTTGTACCCCCCTCCCCTTTCCCCCCCACTAAATTTGTCAGAAGCCTAAATACTTCCCCTCTTCCAGATATTCTGCATATGAGACTTTACAGCAGAACCTCTGGGAGAAAGACAAGGGGAAGACCAAGAAACAGATGGATAAATAGTGAAGCTGAAACTTGCAAAAAGATGAACAAATAAATCCCCCAAGCCACCCCTGAAATGCAAAACAAACATAAAAAGCCATGACACTGGGCTACGACCTGGTATCAGTGAGACGACAAAACCATGACAGTGGGCGACAACCTGGTATCAGTGAGACGACAAAACCACGACACTAGGCGACAACCTGGTATCAGTGAGACGACAAAACCACGACAGTGGGCGACAAACAACCTGGCATCAGTGAAACCACAAAACCACAACACTGGGTGACAACCTGGTATCAGTTAGACGACAACAGAAGAAGAAGCCTTAGTACCTTCCCTTCCCCACAAATGTATGGTGACTGAACTCCCCCCCCTTCCATATCATGGAAGGAGGTGATATCTGCATGAGTGAGCCTCATGGGCTGGGAAGGTCAATGAAGAAGAGAAGAAGAAGTAAAAGAATAACACCAGAAAGAAATATACTGATGTTAAACTATAGCACACCTCATGGCTCTGTTGGTCATTGACCTGTTGCAGGTGTTTGATCAGGGCTTGACTTTGCTGCAGGTTTAACGGCTGCCCCTTGATCTGCACCACCTGGCCATCTAATTTCATCTGCTCAGGTACCTCAGAGAGATCAGCAACTCCTTGACTCACCTGATACTTCAGTGCTTCGAATGCTCCTTGCCTGAATATTGCACAGGAAAATATTAGTTACAATTCTAAGAGCACACTCTTAGCATGCCAGATTAACTCTGTCAGTACCATGGTAGTGTTGTTTCTAACTTACTCTATTCTAAGAAGTTGTTACTTTGTAACTAGTATTTTGGCCTGTGAAGTTTACCCTCTTGCTCTGGAAAGGCTAGAAGAAAAGTGGTCCTGACTACATTGGAATTCTAGAAAACATCATTACAATAAACAATTATACACAGGTCATTAATAAATTTGTAAAAGAATTATTTATGTACATTGTAACATTATGGGTGCAAGTAATTTTTTTCCTGTACAGAAAAAGAGTGACTTCCCTTCACATTCATTCTCCTTCTATTACTCTAGTTCTTCTTCTATTCCTCTAGTTCTTCATCTATTCCTCTATTTCTTTTTCTATTTCTCTAGTTCTACTATTCCTCTAGTTCTTTTATTACTCTTCTTCTTTTATTCCTTTATTCCTCCACAGATCTTGGTCTTTGGTGTTCTAGACCCCTTCTACTGAATTTATTCCTCCATACCACCGTCTTAAGCCATCCACTTTAATTTCTCACTCTCCATTCCCCGCTGATTTAATCTCTAATGGGTCCAAAGATTTGTCATAAAACTCTGTTTTCAAATATTTGTAATAAGGCTTCATCTCTTTTAGCTGTGCTGCAAGTTTCAGAGCCATATAAAACAGCTAGGGTAGGAGCCTGTCCTACTCCTAGGTCTACCAGGTGGCGGATGGTGGAAAGGCCTCTAGATATAGAGGTTAGCCATGAATATATTGAATAAGTGGCCGTGGACCAAAACAGGTGATGGTCATTGAGAGGAGGCGAGTTAGTTGATGGGACAGCTAACTCCATAAAATACCTAAAAACTCAACGACATGGCCATCGGCGGGTTAGAGGTGCCATAACCTCCCCCCTCTGCTGCCTTGCAGGGTGTCTCTTTAGACAAAGGCTATTGGAGTCAAACCATATACAAACAGGCGGAAAGTAAGGGGAAACCACCGCTGAATTATCCCTAGAAAACCATGCCTTGAAACATAACAAATTCAGATAAGGACGTGAATACATGCTGCAGAAGATCGAGGGTTGTGGAGAGGCATGATAGCCCATGCCAGTCGGCAAGGCACCTGATGATGATGATGATGATAAACCAACTGGTCTTGTTATACATTGTGATCTTGGTGTTGCAAGAGAGAGACTTTGACTTTAGCAGATGCTGAAGGGCAGAGTAAACTTTACTTCCAGATTGTATTCTAGACTGTATTTCTTCTCTCAGCACATTGGAGCAGTTGAAGTTTGCGCCCAAGTACTTAAATGTTTCCGTTGGCTTGAGAGCCCGCATCAGCAAATTAAATAAATCTACAATACCACAAGTATAAACAATAATTAACTGCTTTTTGAACAGTTTGACGATGACACCTTTGCCAAAACCAATGCAAAGCAGTCTGCTGTCAAATCAATTGCAGTTGAATCGAATCCTCTATTTCAAAATTGTGCAGCAAAATTAATTAAACATAAAACAGTCAATAAAAACCTACTGTCTTCTTCTTTGTTCTTCAGATTGCTCCAACAACTGCATCAAATACTGGTTTTTATTTCTTGTTTCTCTTAGGGCATGCTTGAGTTCCTTAATCTCTTCCTCCAGAAACACAATTTTCAAATCATTTTTCCGTGAGCCTGCAGGAAGCGAAGTGAAAGAGAGAAAGAAACAAATACAACTAACTGGCCAACAGGCAACAGTAATGAATCCCTTTTGGGCCACTGGGTCAGTGTAAAGTAAGTAAAGAACCCCTTTCCACGCCTTTCAGGCGTATTGGGTAAATAGGGCTAGACCTATATTTTTCATAGGCCAATGGCACAAGATGGGTGAGGCGGTCAGCATCACGCTGACCACCTTTACTTCCCAGGACTTCCCACTACCCACTCAAGGCTGGGTCGACCTAGGAGCCAAGGTCATGTTTTTTAAAAGTCTGGCTCCCCCAAGGAGCGTCTAGCCGCTAGACCACGCTGATTCCCAACTGGGTCAGTGTGTAGGTAGTGTATCAAGTAAAGTAGCACCTTTCAACCTGTGGCCATAGCCCACTGGCTGGCCACAGAAAAGTCTCGGTGGGCCGCCCAAAATGTCTGCCTCATCATGTAACATGGCAGGGTAGACAATCTCCTCTTCCAATAATGCTGCCTGCAGAATTTAACACCTCAAGGAAGAGAATCATACAGGTACCAATCCCACAAACTCCATTCAGCCGCACAACACAGTAATATTATGGCAACCGAATGTTGCGTGAAACTGCAGCCCAGTCTGGGTTGGGAATAAGGACAATACATCAAGTAGTGATTATATGATTACTGCAAAGCAAGTGTGGCAGCCTACGAGTCAATTCTGTTTCTGTGTTTTATTAACTGTCAGGTTGGCTGCAAATCAATTTCCCATGTACTGATGGGCCGCAGGTTGTAAAAAAGTTAAGGAACACGGAAGTTGGGCAGGTTGGGCATTTGATGCTAGACTCAAATGTTTATAGAGCAGCTAGCATACAGTGGGTTATGTGGTCAAAATTGCGTCAGCCGCCTTGACTTTCCTGGACTTTATCTGGTTCCTATTTTAGGCTGAGTCAACCTGGCAGCAGAGGTCAATTTTGAAAACAAAGTCTGCCACAATGCAGATTTGAACCCAAGACCTTTAGGCTGACAGGGAAGTCTTCTTCTTCTCCTCCTCTTCCTCCTTCTTCTATCGTTCACCTGAAATAAATTGTCCATATCAGCAATTTTGTCTCTCAAATAAATTTCACTGTTGTTTTTAGTTCGTTCAGCGGTTCACAGAGTTTACATTCCATTGTTGTTCTTTCTGGCCAAAAGTTTTGCTTTACTGTATCAAATTCGGTGCAGTCTTGGAGCGGTGCAGTCTTGGAGCGGTGCAGTCTTGGAGCGGTGCAGTCTTGGAGCAGCGCAGTCTAGGAGCGGCGCAGTCTAGGAGCGGTGCAGTCTTGGAGCGGTGCAGTCTTGGAGTACATGTTCTGCTGTCTAGATCACCTTTCCACAGGTGCACATGGCTGAGACGCTTATCTTGAATTTTGCGTACATGTGGTTACATGACAGGCAAGTGTCTAGCCACTACACGACCGTGATTCCTTGAATATACGGTGCTAGACATATTTTTATAGGTCAATCAGCACCCAATGGGTTATGTGGTTATCAGGCAGGTTTTTACTTTGACTTCAACGGATACCCCCACCCTATGACATGCTTAATGCAGGAGGGGGGGGGGGGGGGAGGGGGTGGAGTAGGTCTATTCTTGTTTTTTCCCCAAAGAGGTGCCCTGGAATCCACAGGGGCAGATGTGGTCACTGCTTTGCTATAACGTTTTGACCAACAGGTGTGTGGTTTCATTCTTATTCTTATGCTGTGTAAAAACATTTGTTTTCCAACGTTCTAAACGCCTTTATGAAAGCTGTCATGCAGTCTAAATCTCCCTGTGTACCATACAGCTTTGTCTTCACTGCAGTTACTGGGCCCAGGATACTAGATTAATATTTGTATAGACCAATCGGTACTCAGGGGTGGATGTGATCAATGTAACACCAGCTGCCTTTACTTGCCAAGTTATTTCCCATTTTACGCAGGGTCAGCCAGGAAGCCAAGTGCATTTTTGAAAACTTCAGGTTTGCAGATGAGCATCACTCCACCATTGCGGCGCAGACAAGAATGTTAGTTTCAATACATGGGGGAATTATTCTTCATAAAATGCACAAAACATGAAAGAGACAACGACCATACCTCCTGGTTTAAACGGTTCATCTAACAGTTTGGAGTATGATGAGGCTGAAGACATGTCATCTGGAGAAAATAAAAAAAAACAATAAAAAGTATTACATAAAAAAAAAATTAATTTACAAGGAAGATTGCTTTCTCTTCTTTCTCTCGTTGAATAGGTAAACAAAAAACAAGTCTACAATGTGTATAAATAGGATAGCCTCAACTGAACAGCTGTGCATAACAAGCATAGCATAAATTGAACAACTGTTTACTGATATAAAATGTAAAATAAAAGACTTCATTTGTTTAAATCTACTAATTTTTAAAATTTTATTTTTTGTTTTAATCCCTCAATACGAAACATAATAAAAAACTAAGTACCAGCTTGCAAATAAATTAACATATTTTTCCTGTAGCAATATATGATTGTGAGTTATGGACTTCTCACCATTACTAAAGAACAAAATTAGAGTTGAAATATTCATTAATAATATCATTATCCCTCTTCATCAAAAAAAAAAAAAAAAGTGTTACAATACCTGCATTTGTTGTCATTTGTTGTTTTCCATCAGCCTGTAGTTTTCTCCTCTCTTGTTCGTCAAACGCTGACTGTGATGATTTCTGGCTCATTACAATTTTAAACTGTAAATCTGTGGATTAAAAACAGCAATTTTATTTCAGTCTACAAAGTGTGCTCCCGCCTGGCAGTGTTGGGGGCAGCTAGCTCTCCTGGGAGGGTTTCAAGCAAAAAGTAGTAAGCTGCTGTCCCGTGATCGTGGTCACACAAGCCAACCCCACCTCCCTGTGGTTCAGACTAAAAACTGTGTCTGTGAGGATGCAGGCTAATGTTGAAATGGCCGCCTTGAGAGGAGTGGGGACCCCGCCAGGGTTGAAATTTTGCTTGAGATGCACCACGCTGACAGATTTGATGCAGGGCTCAGTAGAGGCGAAGAGGGGAAGAGGCAGACCAAGAAACACCTGGATACAGAACTTGACTGACTGGATGGTACCGGTCATAATCTGGTTAAAAGTCCATCTTGCTTTTCCTCTGAGTGTAGTGAGCCAGCCAGACCCTCTGGTTACACCCAGATGCCTCATTCTCTCCAGGCCATAATAATTTTCTTTCTCTACTGATTCCATTGCTTGCTCCCAAAGGTAATTGATCACATCTGCCTTGTCATGTATCAATTCACCACCAAGTGCAATCTGTCTGCCTGTAATTGATGTTTATATTTCTGCCTAACAGCCTGAAACATGATACAGTATCAGAGTTGTATCTTACTGTACCTTACAGAACATTTGAAAGCTTTTTGTTCCAACAATGAAGTCTTCTTCTGCATGTTCACAGCTGTTAACTTTAGAAAGTTCGGGTTGTTAGTCCACTTCTGGACTTTGTTCTTGTTCCAGAACGTTGAGTTTTGCATGCACATCTGCTTTACAGATATGGTCTATTTGTATGTAGACTGTTGGTTCCTCGCCCCTTAGGTGGATACACTCCGTCTTCGAGAGATACAGCCTTAATTTAGTAGTTAGTTAGTTAGTTCGTTAGTTGTGTATTCTTTACAGGATGTTGCAGAACCAACCCTAGCATGTTTTGGCTGTTGTGATTTTTCTAGGCAAAATTACATCCATTAGTTTGGCTTCTCGATACCACTGTCGAAACCAACGAAAGATGCAAGTCCTGCAGCTGGGATAGACCCTGGCCGGCTTGTTCGCAATGCTTAAGCCACAGATGCTGACACACCCTTAATTAGTCATCTTTTATGAATAGCTTTTTAGGAAAAGTGGGTCTATTCCTTTTTTTAAACCCCAAAATAGGGCCCTGGGACCCACATGGGGTTTTAAACTGCCTGAAAACAAATGAACAGACTGCACAAGCTGACAAGAGTCATACAATCATAACAATTCATTTAAAATAGCCTGGATAACTATTTGAGAAAACACAACCATCTTCAACAATGAACTCAAACACAAGAATAAAGACAGCATCAAAACACTCAGCTGAATACAGCAATTACCATACAACTTCTGTTTTCAAGATGGTGATAAGCAGCACTGTTATTTTTCAGTGGCTGTGTGTTCTCTTTTTATGCACTACTATTCAGTGTGCATTGGCAATTCAAGATACATTATGTACTTCATGGGAGTGGCGTGTATTGTAGTTGTGACACTGTCAGAGGGGGATGGTGACCGACAGAGATCACAGCGCCGTCTAGCAGGTTGTGATTTCAATGTTTTGATTGTGGCTGGGCATTATCTGGGTAGAGAGAACTTGTCAGCAAGGGACAGCAAGTGTCTCAAGAGCAAATTAGAAAAAAAGCTGTGAAGAAACAAAATGTGCCAAACATTTTGTTTTTGTTGGAAAGGAATCAACACTTATGGTTATATACCACACTTGAAATTGACCCACCAATATCACAACCAAGGGAATAAGAACAGTAATATTAAAAACTACTATTTTGATCCGAATTATCTACTTTTGCATTATTGCATTAGTTCTTTCGTAATTTCCTACTCCAAATTACGTCACAGGATAGTCCAACATTTTAGAGGGTGGTAAGACTGGGTTTCCCTGCTTTCTGATGCTTTTAACGACCTCAAAACATCTAGAACTAGCCGTAACCCGAACCCACCTATGTCCCACGAGAGAGTGCAGCCTAGGTGCCACGACTGCATGCAGCCTAGGTCCTATGACTGCATGCAGCCTATCTACCACCCCCTGAAATTGTAGACTGTCCTGTGACCTGTGGATTTTCCCTGTTTGGGGTAGGACATTAATAAAGCACCCATTATTTATTACTTACTGCAGGACACTCAATCTCCTTACCTTTATTTTCAGTTTTCAGCTTTTCAATTTCTTCATGTAATGAGTGCAACATTTCTGAATGCTGCTGTTTTAGAAAGACAATGCAGCGTTCTAGATACTGTATTCGCTGAGATGGGTTCATTTCTGTGGCTGCCAGAATGTCATCATCCTCACCATTGTTTTTAAATCCACCAAAAAGATTCACACTTGCCTTCTGATCTTTGATAAATGGTTTTGAGTAGCGATTCTGAAAACAAAATGTGGACACTAAAAGTGCTGGAGTTTAGAAGCTGTGAAAACAAAGGTTTTCATCTGCCATTTTGTACTGTCACAAAAGATGAGCAAACTTGGCACTCTGTCTTTATTTGTTAAGAATGAAATTTTTTTTTAAAGGATGTTTAATGATGAGAGAATCAACTACACCAGGTTTTATCAAATATGGCATGGTTACTCTGGTTACCACTGAGAATAGCCCACAAAGCCTGAACCCCATAGCTCTAAAACATTCCCAGAGATCTCTGAAACAACTTTGATTCTTCTTTTTCTCTTTCCTCATTTACCTCATCAGATTGGGGAGAGGGAGGGGAGCGTATGTGTATATGTGGTGGAAAGGGTTATGATCTTCTGTGTGGTCTTTCTTATGCATTTCAAAAGCTGATCATTATTTACTATTCAGGACGTTATCTAGTACCTATTTTAGGTTGGGGTGACCTGAAAGCCAGGGTCAATACAACAATCTGTAGTGCCCATTTGAACCTTAGAACATTAGACTGACATGCTAGCATCTAGCCACTACCACAGCTCCTTTTGTTAAACAGATCACAAACTATAATCATCATCATCATCATGTAGCAGGTCCTTTGCAGAATGTCGCTCTCATCGTGGTTTGCCTGAAAGAAGCTTGGTCTCTCGCCAGCTTTCCCACCTCGTGTACTTTCATATTCAAGGAGTCACTTTTATCCTGTGCCCCTCCTTCCTGGTACCATGCCTTCTACTATTATTTTTTTTTTTTTACAAACCACCATGGGGCTTGATATAACCAAAATATTTCAGCTCCAAGACAAGATGCTGTTTATTAGCCAATCTTCCTTGATGTTCAGATCTGTCAAAATGTCAGTATTTCTTCTCTTCTTTTTCTATGGTATTCTAAGAATCTTTCTATAGCATTTCAACTCCAAAGCCCCCTATTTCATTTCTTAACTCTTTGAGTCCCGGGGGTTTATCATCACAGGCCCAAGGGGTAGTCAAGAAAGACATAAAATCAGCGCATCTTGTGTTCATTGGGCTTCTAGGTAGGAATATATGAATGTATGATGCTTTCCTTGGGACTCAAAGAGTTAAAGGCTGGGAAATAGTCAATACTATAATATGTTATCTAATATACTTTCACTCATTAACAATTATAACATAATTAATTTAAGACATTTTCCCAATGTAGGTTCTGGGTCTCAGTGTGGGTGCTCGGGGAGGGGGTGTGGGGGTAGGGGAAGGTCAAAACAAGAATAGACTTCTGCCTCCCCTTTTTCGCCACAAATAGCATGTAAACTAATTAGAGGTGCTCCCTCCGAAGTCAGATTGCCTGAGAGACGAGGAACCAACAGTCTGCATACAAATAAGCAGATCTGTAAAAATGGACGTGCACACAAAATTTCTGGAACAAGACTAAAGTTCAAAAGTGCATGAATAGCCAGAAGAAGAAGAAGAAGAAGAAGGAAAAAGAGTCTAAGAGATTTTCGTACTTACTTTATCAAAAGCATGGACCCGAGTCCACTGAGGAAGTGTGTTCAGGGGAGGTAATGGATTGTTCATGGCAGATAGATCAAAAGCTCGATTCGGAACAACACTTTGCCGGATCATTTTACTTTCTTGATTGCACTGTATCAGTGAGGTGATGCAGACGCTGTCACTGAGCTACAAAGTTACACGGCTGAATAAAAAAAAAAACAATTTATGGAAACATATGTGATACAAATAAAGTTAAGAAATATGGCAAAAATATAGTCTCAATGGTTTTTTTTTTTACAATTTATTATGACCTATTAGCTAATCATTATTAGTCATCCCCTTGTTATTTTGAAGCCTCACCCTGGCATTTGCCAGGGGCCACAATATAGCCCGGCCATAAATATAGCCCAATGGCTGAACGCGGTTCCTGGGACCTCTCCACGGGTGATCCTCATCCACATGGTGGCATAATGTGTCATTGGATGTTTATCCCTTGTGTGATGTCCTAGTGGGGTAAAATGTACTACTACTACTACTATTATGAGAAAATTTTACACCTCCACAAATCAATAAGAAAGCTCCTATCTTTACTGCAGTGACTGTAAACAAGTTCAGTCCAGAATTATGCAGACAAAAGGACATAGTCGTCAACTTGTATTTGCACTGGTGAAACAGATAGTTACTAATGAATGAAATCGACTCTGTGTTTCAGTTTGAAGGATTCATTTATTTTATTCATTTTAATTAATTGTTATTGTATTATGCACCTGATGCAATAAATTATGCAGTCTGTTGTTTGTGTCTTCTCTGTTCAAATTTACTGCCTGTTTTTGTCACTTTTTAGGGTAATTATGTTATGTTATCATAATCAACATTGTCTGCGTGGGTTTCAGGGTCCTATTGTGGAGGAAAACAAGAACAGATCCACTCCTACTCCAATAAGCGTGTCGTAAGAGTAGACTAATTGGAAGCTTTCTTCAAAGTCGAAGTGCATCTGCACATGCTGCAAGGAACAACCAACTGCGCACAAATAAGCCAGTAAAATAGATGTACATGCAGAACTCAGGCCCTGGCAAAAAGCCAAAGCCAAAATCAATGAAAAGCCAGGACTTTCCACCGGAGCTTACAGCTGTTGGTTTCATGCCTCTCAGGCTGATGCACTCTGACTTTGAGGGATATATATCCTTAATTAGTCACTCATAGGACATGCTTGGGGCAGCGGGTCTATTTTTGTTCTCCAGAATAGAGCCTCGGAACCCACAGATGGAGAACACAGAGAACACAAGGGTCTTGAAAGTAGCAGTCCCATCTGCATCTTCTTTAAATGACTGTTGATACATAAGGCATTCACAAGTGATCTCCCTTGCTGTTGGGCTGCCTATGATCACCATGACCATGTAGCAGCTCCTTTACAGAACACTGCTTGCTGTCTCGGTCTCCCGCCAGCTCCTCCTGCCTCATAAATTTTCATACCCAAGGAGTCATTTATATCTTGCGCCCATCTTCATGCTGGTTGGCCCCCCTCCTTGACACTTGATATGGCTAAAATATTTCAGCTTATGAGAGAAGATGCTGTTTATTAGCCAGTCTTCCTTGATGTTCAGATCACTTAAAATGTAAGTATTTTTTTCTGCTTTACAATCCTTCATATTCCAGGTTTCCTTATGTCGTCTACATCTCTTTTTTTTCTGTCTGCCACAGACTAGACAGCTGCCGTATCAAAGTGTTATGAGGCATTTTGTAAACATGTTCAAAAACAGAACTAAGGATACATAACAGAAACATTTTAATACAATTATACAACAGTGAATGTTGGAAAATGACAGCAGGAAAAATAAATAATCTATAGACCTCTCTGAATAAATGACTAAGGAGAATCCTGTAAATATTTGTGGCAACCATGATCAAAAATAAAGAACTGAGGTCAACACAAAATATTCATTACTAACAAATAATAAAATCAAAGAAAGAAGATGGAGATGACTTATACATGTTTGCTGAATACCTTAGGGTTTCAAATTTATAATTCATAATTTGATTTGTTTCACAATACACAAACCAACAACAATTTAAAGCATACATAGTAAAAATACTTAACAATGTGCTGTACATAGTCTTTCAACTCGTACAACAACTTGCACTTTGCAAAAAAAAAAAAAAAAAAAGGACACGACAATCACTTATTAAAGTCTTTAATAATAAGAATTCCAGGTGCAAGAATAAAGAATAAAAGGGGATATTCAGTGCAACAATTTAGATAAACAGTTTAAACGAGAAGTAGAACTGCTCTGCTTCGCAATCTACCAACAGTTACGAGCAGCAAATGAGCAGCTGCAACATAATACTTAACAAAATAAGCCAAATATTTGTTTTGTTCATGACTGTGGCATATGTGAAGTGAAGGAAGCAGACTAGACTAAGGCCTTTTTTTCTCATCGGACTGGTATTTTGTTTTTCATGACACTGTTGGCAATTCTGACAACTCACAAGATAATAAAATGTTGTTATAGGTTTCTACACCATTTGGTCTCTGCGCCATGTATTCTTTCACAAACAGCACCAATTACACAAGTGCATTCTTTGAATGATTGGTTCGGTCGTCAACGACTCCATCAGCCATATTAATTCAAGAGAGATAATTCTTTTAAGCTCTTACTTCCGGTATTCGGTAATCTACATCTAAATTTGAAAGTCATCATGCAAGTTCTGAAACAAGAGGTGGACGAACAACTAGAACTTTCCGCTGGAAACTAGGGAACTGACTTGCTTGGTCGAACCAGGTATATCGGAAATACAAATTGCGTTCGCAACGCCTAAGCAACATACGCCGATGACATACCACGAAATCAATACAAAATAGGGCACCGAGCCTCGACATTAAAAAAAAAAAAGGTTAGTTGCGTATCCTTTACAGGACGTTGCAGAACCAACCCCAGCAGCCCCTGGCTGTTGTGTGGTTTCTCTAAGCAAATTTACATCCAGTAGTTTGCCATTTCTACTGGACGGTCGGCCTCCTGATACCACTGTCGAAACAAATGCAGTGAGCATTGCCCGCAGCTGGGATCGAACTCGGCACCCCGGCATTACGAAGCGTTCGCATCGACTTAGCCACAGAGCCGACGCCTCGACATTTGGGTGACATACATAGGTACACATGTTACATTGGTGTTTGCCGTCTGTGCTGTGGATGGGAAGCAAGCAGGTGGAGATTCATACATGCCCGCCTGACCTCGTTGACTTCTGCACATGAGCCGTATTGTTGCTGATTAGCTCAGAAATGCAGGTGAACGAATGTTGCTAAACAGCGAACCGAGCACCTCCTACACCCAGCATGCTTTAGCGGTGGCGCTGAAAGTGTTGCCACACCCCTCCCCCCTCAATTTATTCATATCATATTACATGTGTGTCGGCTATATTATTAATTGCGAACTTCCGGGGACTATACTGGCTGGGACTTACGACCAAATAAAATGAAGGAAGCTGCAGGAGATGCGGTAGCTGCTGCTCGTGAGTCCCAGCCATCTAATTTAGACCCAATCCACGCCGGAAGTTCGCAATCTACATGTGACTGAGACCTTGTTAGGGTATATTTTCGTCCTCGATAATTTGGGACCGTTATTCGGAGGATAGCCCAAATATGTTTTAATGACATATTAACCACTGCACTTATTATTGTTTTATTATCTTCCGATGACGTAAAATATTGTAGGCTTACATAAATATATAAATTTTAAAAAATGTTGTCTTGATTTAACAAGATGGCCATTGTTTGAAAGGGGAATCACATCCGTTATGACATCATGTAACGTCAGTTTTTCCACTTCTGATGATTGATGTCCTGATAATTCGTCAGCATTGTAACTGTAAAAACTCGTAAATATTAAGGGTGGGGTGGGGGGGGGGGGTATCAAATGCACAGACTTTCATTTACCGCTCGAGGCTGAACCAAGTGACGATCAGTTGACTCGCCGGCCACGTCGAAGAAGGGACAGACATAGACTTTTTGGGCGAATATCGAACAAAAATTTCGACGAAAAACAGGACGATTTAAAAAAAAAAAGAAGGCGAATACTGGCGAGAACGAATATGGGAGTTTCACTTTATAAAGTAAGAAAAAGTAAAGAACGCGTAGTCGCTATTAATTTAACACTAGCCTAACCCCTCCTATAATATATTATGTTCAGGAAAGCCCCTAGGGAGGCCTATGAAAACCTTGGGATTCCCTACCAGATTTCGTAGGCGACGTGCTGTGGTTGTATAAAATAAAAGTACCAAGGACTCTTTTCCCCGCTTTCTGACGTATAGGGCTAGACCTGTATTTTTTTTAGACCAATCGGCACTTGGAGGGTGATGTGATCAGCGTCACGCCGGTCGCCTTTACTTCCAAGGACTGCACCTGGTACCCACTCAAGGCTGAGTCGACCTGGGAGCCAAGGTCATTTCTGGAAAAAAAAGTCCGGCTCCCTCAGGACCCGAACCCACGACCCTCCGATCCACAGGCAGGTGTCTTTTTTTTTTAAAAGTTGCGTATCCTTTACAGGACGTTGCAGAGCCAAGCCCAGTGTTTTTTGGGGCTGCTGTGGTATTTTTAGGCATATTTGCCTTTCCAACTGGACGGTCGGCTTCTTGATACCACTGTCGAAACCAATGCAAGACGCAAAGCCCGCAGCTGGGAACGAACCAGTCACTGCGGCATTACAAAAAGCGTTCGCAACGCCTACGCCACTGGCGCCGACCGTTGCACTTTATAGGGACAATAAACGGATCACCAATGTCGTTACAGAGGTACTGAGGAAATTGGGAATGAAAATAGAGTTGATAGGTGAAATAAAAAAGAGACAAGTGAAATATATTGGCCACATTAAAAGACATAACAGTATTGTAAAGATCATCCTAGAGGGAAAGGTTCAAGGTAGGCGAGCAAGAGGCAGACAGCGTTACAAGTGGGGGGATAACATCAAGAGATGGACGAACAGCAGTATGAGTGAGTGTACATCAAGGGCAAGAGACAGGGCTTGTTGGAGATCCATTGCAGCCAACCTTTCATTGTGGAGACGGCACCTGATTGATTGAATGTCGTTACAAGGAGCATGGCTGACTGACAAGGCGCGTAACCAGTGTTGCCACTTTTC